GATAAAAATACATTTTCTACCTTCATGAATTCATAAATTTTAAGAGCAAAAGGAACCATTACATTCATCCAGCCTGAGGCATTGATAGATTTACTGCACGGGAGCTAATGGACCAGAGCACAGTCCCTTTGAGATGACAGGAGAGAATTTGTGCAGCTTTTTAGCCTCCCTCCTCATCACTATCATGAGGGCAACCACCTCAGAGCTCTCTTGTCTAACACAGACCCTGCCTCTAGTCCAGCTTGAGAGAACATTTATTCATACGTAACATTTTGGCAAACACCAGACTGCTTTCCCAAGTACCCAGAGAAAGCAAAGGTCAGCACATCCTCATTGCCCCAGAGCACCTCTACCACCTCTCTTGACCCTGTTTAGTCTCTCAGCAGCACCAGACACCCCAAAACAACTGTAGCTGCTGTCCCTACACTCAGACTTTGTTCTCTACCTGCACAGTTCTCTCATTGGGATGTGAAGAACTTGGCCTCTGGGACTCAGCTTATTGCCTCATAAAGCAGGATGGCAGGATTATTAATGTGGCAGAACTGCAGGATTTTCCAAGCAATTTATGAGTTACCATGGCAGTTCATTAGCTCTCAGCCCAATGACCCCTTTCTGGCGAGCATGAATCAAGCAGGAGGCACACACATATCTTAATGTATGACAGATATTCATACCAAAAACACATCCAAGGCCACATCTCCTCCATTTTGTACAACATATCTCTAACAGCAGCACTAAAAAGTCTCCAGTTACCAGGACCGATAGCCAACCCTGTGAGACATGTCTAGACAAAGAGAAATTCACAATGCCCATCTTTTTCTTTTATTCTCATCAAACCATTTCTGACCAATGTCTGTATTTAAAGACTAGCAGGTCCTTAGCAGAGGGTTTACATTTGCAGCCTCCAAGAACTGCACAAGAAGGCAGGTCTGGAGGTGGGGACAGTAGGCACTCAGAATTGTTCCCTTGACTTTCAGTGCTAAGAATAAGGTTTCACTTTACACACAGAAAAGCCCCTCGTCCCCTCTCAAGGAAGGATTTGAGAAAATATTTAACTTTCATTGTAATTACCCATAGGTCTTAAAATAGAGCACACACTTCAATGTTTCCTTGAGTCCAAGTTGCACTATGTGAACAAAAAAATTCTACAGGGTTTAATGCCAAAAAAACAAGTCTAGCAAACTAGAGAGGAAAGAGATATAAAATTAAAGGGAGCCTTTGAAGTTAATAAGTGGACAATTAAGTAAAAGGGAAAGGTCAGGAGCACAGTATATTTTATCCATAAGTACAAAACCACTAGCAAGCTACTCGCAGATATTACAAATACCAAAGAAAGACAGAGATACAGGGAGATGGTTAAGGGAAGAGAATGAAGGAGATAAAGACTTCTATCAAGTCCTTATTTCACTGTTTTACTCAGTTGCATTTATACTTTTTGATTTTCTTTTACCCTCTAAGATTCTCAGGGTATTTTGAAGAAAAGGCAGAGCTAAAATTTTTATATCTGCCTCTACTTACAGCTGCCAGAAATCAGCCTCACCACGGCTTATGTACTTCCCAGAATTAACTTGCCTTTCCTTTTGAAAAAATAATTAATGCATTTATTAGTGCAGTAATGGGACCCACATACTGGAAAATCCCACCTTCTACACCATCCCATTAGCTAAATCTGGCTATGGGCCAAAATTTCACATTTCAGATCCTGCCAAGGTTCAAGTTTGGAATGTTTTTACATTGGAGGATTTTTCACGTGTTTCCTTGGCTGGCTAATGGGACCCTAATGCACACAAGAGATCGCTATCGCACCGGGCTGCCAGTTACTTGCTTGTTTCAATCATCTTGTACATACATGCTAAGTGGTGGCATTTCCCTCTCAGCTAAGTAATGCCAACAGGCATTGAACCCAAGATACAAAGGGATATAATACAATATGGAGAACTGCTGACTTGAGGCATTCCCACTGGCTAGAGTAATTACAACATTTTTTTAAAAAATATACAGCTGGGCAAAAAAGTTGGATGACACCTTTATTTAAGAGCAGATTCATCAACAAAATTGTGTATGTCTGGCAGGCACTCTCATGTCCAATAAAACATACAGGCTGGAGGAATGAACCTCCAAGAAATATGGATATGGCTCAAAGAAGACAAAGCTGTTGCCTCATTCATATACCTCTGGGAGATCTGGAACAGGGTGCAGCTCCTGCTGTCAAGCTAGAGAATAACAGTCTGGATGTACCAACCTGAGACACCCTTGCAGATATTCTCCTGCCAGGACTGGGACATAAGTCACCTCATCAGCTCTTCACCAGGCATTGGTCCACACAGCCAACACCAGCATTAATGCCAGTCACAGGGCCTATTTCAGCAAAAGGACTGTGGTTTCTGCTAACAACACATGAGTTTTCAGTTAATAATACTTTTTGTCACCTCATAAATTACTCCCTTAGCAGATTTTTTCATGAGTTGCTATCAGAAGACATATTGGTCTATTTCCAGCCCTTCCCATGCTTTAGCACGAAAAGCAGAGTTCAGCTGCCCCATCCCTATCAATACTTTAGTTTTTCTCATGGGAAAGGCCTACATGAAGACTCTCCCACCTACACTGCCACATCTATCAGTATGCTTGCTCTCACCACCTCTTCTGAAGTAGTACAGTGGGTAGGTAACATTAGCCAAGGACACACTGCCATTTTGCTCACACGTAAGGCCAGTGATATGGTCCAAACTGCTGAACTATGGCAGAACATTTCTGCTGCAGTCTGGCAAACAGAGAGTGACAGAGAGGAGCAGACTGAATCTGCTGCTTGATCTCAGAGAGTGATGAGGTCACCTATTTGAAGCAGCAACAAGAAGGGTTGAAGTGATGCTCAGAGAAACCCATTTTGTACACCCATCACATTTCCCAAGCTATTACAGTCACTCTGCATCTTTGACTACTCTCTAGGCACCAGCAGCAAGGTCACATCCTGCTCTCCAGGGACCATGTGCTTCCAACTGCAAGAGGGGAGGAACAGGGATATGTATTTAAATACAGGCCACAGGGAAGGGCAGTCATGTTTATCTGTCAAAGCCTGTCCCCTTTCACTCCTACAGGTTTTGTGAAAGTAGGAGAGCACCACACCAGAAGCAATAACACATGCAGCTTTATGCAAACTTGAAAAGAAAAAAAAGAAATATCCAACAGGAGGTTTTCTACACTGAAATAATTCTCTAAACCATAAGAATACAAAATTGCTTGGTTTTATCATTTCTTCTAAAATAATGCCGGGTCTTAATTCTGTCCGGCACAAGCACATGGGACTGGAATTTGCTTTCTTGTTTATTTGGTTTTCACATTTTGAAGGACTTTGCTGCTTGAGGCGAGAAATATGCATCTGTTGATCACAAAATCCAGCTCAGAGACATGTCTGAGATCATAGTTTTGAAAAGGAGCCATGGCCACCTTCAAAGGGTGAGGCAGATTTCACCCACGGAAAAGCAAAACATGCCATTTTGTGCTCTCAAACATGACTCATTTCCTGACGCAGTTAAGGCTAGGACTAGGAAAGTTAAGACTGGATTAAGAGATCAGTAATGTCTTTTATAGTGGACTTTCAGACTAGGACTACAATGCCAGAATAAGGCCATGGAGGCCTTTGAAGGAGAAATCCTCTTGGAAATACATTGTGAGGGTCTGTTTGTTTTCCCTGGATTTTCAAGGGATGGAATTCCTGGTTTGCTGCTTTGCCTTTGTTTCTGTCAAATCCGTATGAGGATAATCTCTCCAGTCTCTTTATGAGAAAAGTGATAAAAAAACATCACCTTCCTGGCTAGAAAATTCACAGGGCTTTGCATGAGTAGCCTTGCTACTTCTTGTGACATCATTTCAAACAAAACCCAAGAAGCCAAGAGAAAAAAAAAACCAAAAGTCAATTCCATCTTCCTACCACTCCTGCCAAATGAAACAACATCTGGACAGGCCTTCAGAGCCTGATAGTTCTGCATCAATGTCTCTGCTCTTCAAGGTGCTGGACTTCCACCCTGCTACAGCAACAACACAAAATGCTATAGTGACACCATCTCAAATGCTATCAGACTCAGCATCTTGCCATTACACACAGAGAGTGACCCACAGACCTGTTGCTGTCTGAGGACACAGAGAGTTCCTTCTCTGCTATATACTCCCCAATCTGCTCATCACATTCATAATAGCACCAGAATTTCTTCTTCCAGGTGGATGCAGAAAGGAACAGAGAGAGAAACTGAGCTGATCCTAGAGACAACTATGTAAGCAAAACCCTGAAGTAAATATTTTCAAATATATGAGCTACAAATGACCAAAACATCATCACTGGATGAAGACAGACCTGATGTTGCTTTCATACCACAGGGCTCAGACAGAAACAATTTTTCCTCTGTTGCAAAATAAGATGACTAGTCAGGTAGGAGCACAGTGTCTGCTCAACACTATGACTTAAGCTCCCAACTGAGAGCTCCAAATATTGGTTTGGGGTTTTTTACAAATAACAGCACTTTGTTGGAAAAATGTTGCAATGTTCACCTGAAAATTTTGAGAGTGATTTTTTGCTAACACAGTGGATGAGTATGGATTGCTAATCATCTAATTCTATGGTTCAAAATGAAATACAGAACAGAGTAATAAGGATCCTACTGACAACCGCAACTTTGCTGCAGGATACCAGCCAGAATCCACTGAGTGGATTGATTTCACCATCAGATTTTGCTGCCTTGAAGAAGCATCTGAATGGGTTAACAAAACATCATTTCCATGGTTTTTTGCTTTTTTCCATCAAGCCAATGAGTACAAAAAGTGACACAATTAAAACTCTGTGGTGATCCATAGAGCTTTCCCTTGTTGACCAAATAAGAACTGCCATGAGCCAACTGAAAGTTCAGCAAATTTTTATGTGCAATGACAGTCTTGTTGTTCTCCACACACCACTGTTCAGCAAATATACACACCAGTGAGTGCTAAAGTAAGGGAATTTTGTGACTTACCACAGGTATAGATGACATTAAGATGCTTTCGGATGCCTGGGTAACAAGGATCACCAAATTCATAGGTGCTGGCATATATGCTGCAGCTTCTCTTCCCATGACAGTGCTCGATCATGAGCTGGAGAGCAGTAGCTGACTGACACTCTATAAGGGAAAAACAATACCTAGTTGTGAATATTTGTCCATTCACAACACAAATTGCCTAAAACTAATTTACCAGATGCAGGCTATGTCAGCGTATACATAAGAGCTTTCCATACTTAAATTCTTTGTATTTCCATGGGAAGGTGTGTCTGACTTAAACACACCTCTAATAAATTGTAAATTGATGAAAGGAAATTATCAAAAAGAACACTGAAGAATCAGAAACCCTCATATATCCATAGAAAGAAGACTGCAAATAAAAGATGGCTTGTTTTGCAGGGAAGGGGCTATCTGTAATAAAAATAATTCTTTCTCACCATTCTATAAAGGTCTGAATGGACTTTAAGACAGGTATCAGTGTCTCAATTTTAATAGATGGAAACAGCATCATAGAAAAGCAAAAATACTAATAATAGCAAATCATTGCAGAGCACGGAAGGTCTCAGATCTTTGGAATCTTAGTGCAGTGTATTTATCCAGAAACACTACAAGCTTTCCCATAAACTAAGAGACTGTCATAGGAACAGAAAAGACATCAATATTTTAAAATATGTTAATACAGTTATAATATTCATATGGAATTCATGTAGATTAATTTAGCTGTCGGATAATGCCATGGATCACAGTAACATGCAAAGTTATTAGGAAATTCCCATCTCATGAGCATAAGGGAGATTGGACACTGGAGTCTTGTTCAGGGAAGGGTAAATCTCTGATTTGATTTGGGTGTGTAGATTTTATCCAGGCTTGCTTGTGTGGTGAGTCAGCATCTCTGTCTGCTCTTAGAAGGTGTTGTATTTCTAAGCCTAATGAGAGTTACTATGAGGTAGAATAATTATCATAGAATCAGATACCATGTAAGTAGAAATATTGACTTAAGTGTATTTATTTCATGCAAGTAGAAACATTTCTCGTATCAGGAATTTAGAATATGGAAAGCTCCAAAAGCAAGTATTTTCCCAAATATTATTTTCTATCAGATTATTTTGCCTGTTTTCTCAGCTAAGGTGAGAACACTTTGCATGGACAAGGTCTCGAGCTTTTAGGTGCAAGACTGATAGTTTGCTTTCACCATCCAGCCAGGAGCAAGCATAGTGGGAAGCTGACAAGGATACATTTCTTCACCATGAAACTGTTGCTAAAAGCAACAGAAAACTATAGATAAAGGAATACAAACCCCTTTTGGTCACTAATAAGGAGGCAGGGAAAGGGAAAATGAACCCCAAAATGTATTGAGGGCTCAAACCAGCACAAAAAAAAAGCCATGAGAGACATGGGAAAGCTGTGGGGTAACAACATGTCTTGTTCCTCAAATCAAAGTCATTTTGTTTCACATACTGCAAACGACAAAAGAACAAGGCTCCATGTGAACATTTCCATACTGAACCACCCAAACTTCCTTAGGGGATTTCTCATCCAATGACTGTCAGAGGTTCCAGTGGAAACATCTGGCATACAGCAATCCTGCTTCATTGTCTTTTTGTCAAATGTCCAGTTAGAGAAACTCATCAAATCTAAGCACTGCAGAGGATTTCATGGAGGATGCCTATTCTTTTTAATTGTTATTGTTCTCACACAAAACAGAGAACATCCCACAGCTCAGGGGCCTTACCCCTTGGCACAGGAGCATACTGCCTCTGTGGGAGAGTGGGGAATTCCTCATTACTGGTCCTGTGAGAGGCACAAGGCTTTTGCATACACCAGTCCCAGAGACAGTCAGCCTTTGGGATGTTCCTCATGTAGGAACATGCAGTAACAAACTACAGACTCTGATCTCTGCCTTAACAAACTGGATTGAGTCTTTGGGTACCAAAGCTGTAGGTTCAGCACATTGAAGATGCTTCTAGGAGGTTTATTTATTGTACACCCTCACACTAACATTGACAGCTATTCTAGCCATCGCTAGTTGTGTCTTGATATTGATGACCTCCTTCCTCCCCTGCAGTTCTGAGCAGCTCATGGTCTCCATTCCTACTGACTTTAGCAGCAGAATCTGCTATAAGAAACCAAACTGGGCTTAAATCTCAACATGCTGTTATCCCCTTGTGGTACCTTGTACCTTAGAATGACTTTGACAACTAGCACTGCCCCACAGAGGTAATACAAACAGGGCTAGTCCCAATTGTCAATTTGCAGAAGGCTCTGACAGTTATTTTGGACAGAAAGTGGAGGAGCAGGGGTACATGGTGAAGGATTTCATTGCATGGGCATGAGGTCAGACATCCACAGGGCCAGGCAGCAGGGTCTTTCTTGCTGTATACAGTACAGAGCAGCTCTTGTGTACGAGGCAGGTGAGCACAATCCTGATGCTACCTTTATCAGGTAGTAGCTGCTTTTTTTTTTGCCCAGAAAAAGAGAGTCCTGTCCATAATACCCACTGAAAATAATGTTCTATACTGTCTACAGGCAGCTGTGGGACCCTGCTCTTGCCCATTCACCAGCACCACATTTCTCTTGGAATCATTCATAATTTTCTAGACCTGAAAAAAATAAATGGGCTCTAGGGACAAATTTTGACCAAGTATTCACTTCAAAGACTACTTTTGGTCACAACAGGGAATTTTCCCTGGTTTTGCCTCCGTACAGTTTCTAGGCAAAAATGCCTTGTACATGCCCATAAATGCCAAAGCAAGCAGTCTGCAGTTTTTTGACCAATACCGAAATTATCTTTGTCTCCCTTCTTGGTTTTCTTGGTCTGTCAACATGTTTGTCCTCCATATAACAAACACATTGAACTGCAAAATTTAAGAGCAGCAATCAAAAATCCCAAACAGGACCATCTTCCTTACACCCTTCAAAGGGTTTGTGATAAGGAGCTCATTTAGCTGGATAACAAAATGTCATATTCAAGCATCTTTATTCCCTCACTAACTAGCACTGAAGATGTCAATAATACATCTGAGAGGTGACTGAGTGATAGATGAGACTACAGCACCTTCATAAATCACAATCACCACCATGTCATTCAGAGCTCTAGAAGTGACAACATGGTATTTTCTTTTACCTGTCTCAGGAGTATAAACCCACTGAACATCACTCCTGTTGGCTGTTATGTAGTGCATGTAGGTAACTTAACTTCTAAATGTAAGTAAGCCCTTAGGGAGCTCACTGAAGTGAAAGCTCCAAGTATATTAGTACCTCTTCAGGAGGTTATTCCAGGGCAGAGGTCTTCACCTCCAGGTGCCCATTCTCAGAGCTCCAAGAGGCAAGAAAACAGGCCTCTTTATCCATAAATCATGCAGTTAGCCTGTCAAAAAGATGCAGGAAAGCCAAGACCAGCAATGTGGCACAGCAGAGTTGGACTATGGTTGCCTTTAGCTGGCCAAATTCATTTTTAACAGGTCTTCAGAAGTGGGAGACTAGACATGGCACTCTTATTGGACCAGATGGCATGCTCATTCAGGGCAACATTATGGTTGGACTTGAAAATCTTAGAGGTCTTTTCCAACTGTAATGATTCAATATCCTATGATCTCCTTTCTTCTGGTTCTTGTTTGCCTGCTAAATGCAAACTGTGAATGTTTTATGAGATACCACCCTGGCACCAGTGACAAATGAGTGGTCCCATGTGTCAGAGATGTGGGAAGGACACTCATAAATGCCAACACCGTAGCACTAAGTCTGAGGTAAGTACTGCTAAGCAGAGCCAGGCCCCTGCCAAGAACCTTTTAAAGCTCACAAATCTCAAATCCCACAGTATAACAATAAAAACTGCTTGAAGACCTCATAGATGCTAGAGAGCCTAGTTAGAGAGGTTGGGCCAGAGTTACTCTCAGCTTTCATTAGTCTTGGATTGCTTCAGTACACAGTGAGAGTGCAAATACAAATCCTGGCTATGGTGAAATTTCCACATATGAAAGTGTTTAAAGGTATCTACTGTGCTTTTTTGAATACAGTATTTTAAACTAAAGTTGGGGTTCACCAGAGAATAGGAGCCTGGCCCCACTTTCTAGAAGCTGCGCATCCCTTCGTCTTTGCTCCTGGTGCAAGGTGAATTTCCTTCCCCAGGAATGAGTACTCCACCCATGCAGACCAATGCTCAGTTTCATTTCACAAACTTTAGTCAAAGCCCTCCATAGGTAATTCATCTTACCAGGTGCATTTAATATGATAATATAGATCTACCCTCTTTATCAGCCAAACCTCTGTCAGGGTAAAAACCCAAATCAGGGCAACAGAGCCATGATGGAGGACTTTACCAGCTGCAGCTTGCAGACAGTGTTGGCTTTAAAACTGGAATTGGTCTCGGTGATGTAATGTCCATATCATCAAGCTCACCACAATGAATGGGTTTTAGTCAGTTTAAGGCTGATTCCCAGCATGACTAATTTTTATTACCTCTTCCTAGTGAAAAAAAAAAGAAATTTGAGCCAATGTCTATTAATCACATCCCTAACTTTGGTAACCCACTGTTACTTGTTTTTCTCCAGTGAGGGTGACACATCCAAATCTGAAATCCAAGGCATACATTGTTGCTCTTGATTGCAAAACCTATCTGGGTTTGAAGGAATGTTTCCAAACAGTTTAATTTTTGCATTACAGTAAGTCTTAGATGCTCTGGTGGAGACTAGAGCCTCTTCCAAGGCAGCAGCCATCACACATGGAACCACAAACAGATTTAGACACCTAGTTTTGAGAAGAGTAACTAATCCCACGGTGAAGTTGAGCATATTCCCAACTGTTTGACAACATCTGTGCATCTGCTAACCTCATGATCAGACTCACCTGGCACAGTCATGTTGAGCCTGCAAAGGCAGATTCCTGCACACGTGGGGCAGGCTGTCCAGAGCAAGCAGGACCCCACACACACAGACATGTGAATATGTTAGCTTGCAGTAATGCTGTTAGGTAGTGGTTTTCCACTGGCTGTCTATGAATCTGGAGAGGCAAAAGGGTATGGAGCACACCCCAATATCAACAAGTATGCACTTAAAAAAAAAAAAAAAAAAAAGAAAAAAAAAAGCCTGAGAAGAAAACTCCACCCACTCATCAGGAGATGT